TGGCAGAGAGACTTGGCCTCGCGCCCACTGCATGATGTCGGTACCACCTCGCCGACTGAGAACTCCTGCCCTGTCGATCGCCCGGAGACCTTCCAATCGATCGTAGGCTTCGTCGAAAGAATGGGGGCCCGGTGGACCCCTGCCATGCAGTGGATGAGGACCGTGAAGCCGGAGCAGAGCGTGGCCAGGAAGATAGGCAGGACTTGCTTCAGCTGGCGAGGGCTCCCTGATGGCCCAAGCACACCTGGCGCGCACTGACGCCACCACGGGACGCCGTTTTATCCATGGCGCTGAGACACAGGCCCACATTGTGAGCTTCCAGCCATGCCCGGTCTGTAGGTAGGCCACCCAGATAGATCGAGCCGTTGCCAGCCTCCCATGAAGATGAGTGTGGGTGGCTCTGGTGCCCCGCTGTGCCCTGGGCGGCGCCATCGCGCCAGTGCGGCCGCATCAAATGCTGCATCAGTGGCCTCCTGCAATTGCTGCGGGTTCTCGGCAGCGGGAGGGGGAGCCCGTGGCATAGCTTTGATCTTCGGTGCCGGAGGCGAGCTTGTATATAGAAGATGTAGTCCTCGACGAAGATGGGGCGGCAGCTGAAGAGGATGCCCGGGGCGAAGTGGATGGTACCCTTGGTGGCGGTGTAGCAGATGAAGAAGTCTGGGTTGAAGCCAAGGGCAAAGTCGGAGGCACGCTCGGCGGAGGCGCCTTTGGCGGAGTCACCGGCTGGGCGCTGCCGGCTGCAGCCGCCTTGGGTGGAGGCTCCACCCGGGCCGGCTTCACTGGCTGTGAAGGATTGTTCAACGAGAAGGTCGAAACCGTGGTCCGCGGCACCTGAGTGGGCCCGGTCATGGAAAAAGTTCAACCCGGCCACTCGCAGCTGATGCCCCAGCCGTTGCTTCTGCGAGTCGTAACGTAGGGGCGTAGTGGTGGTGGTCTTGGACGACTGATCGGTCCATTGAACAAGGGCCAACTTCTCGGTCTCTGACAGCCCCACATAGCCAGCAAGCGTAGGCAAAACCCTGCGAAAAGAGTACGAGGACAAACTTGTATAGTATCCATAGCGGCGCTCAGACGAGGGCACAAAATACGGATGAACTGAGGTGGCGTGTCCACAGGTTGGGCTGTTGCAGAACCAAACCCAAGCCAATGCCATCGGCGAAACGCCGGTCCGGAGTGCGGGCGGACCTTGTTGAGGTGGTTGCCCAAGACTTGCGACTTGCAAAAGATCCAACGTGCCGCAGTAGCGTGGCACGCTCCATGCGAAACCAAAAAGCTCGGATGGGTGCTGCATGCTGGCGAATGAAGGTGGCCAACAAAAGCTTGTCAGGCTGGGTGACCCCAGACGAAGTGAGCACCACTTGCAACTCCTGCCAGGTGTGGAGGGCCCGCTTGACGGTAGCCACCTCAGCCTGCTGCAAGATGCCTTTGAGCCGCACCTCGAAGTTGGCAGTGAACTCCACGAAGCGGTCGGCATGGGCAGGTCGTGACGTCAAAGTCGGCGAAATAGTAGGGCGAAGGGCAGCCTGCGAGACCTGCTCACGGCGGAACAGATCACGAACCAGTGCCCCGGCCCCAATCTCGACTTCACGCCGAGCTTGCTCCCATCCATCGGCGGCGGCACGCCCCTCCAACAAGGCCTCCTCATACGTCAAGAAGTAGAAGGCCAAGTCGGAAGCTGCCTCAATGTGATGATCTGCGCACCACCTGTCGAGCTTGACTTGCTCAACAGCGCGGCGCGTCTGCGCATCATCACTGGCCATGGCAGCGAAGAAACTGAGAAAAATCTAACCTGAGGTACCAGCAGTGACTCTGCTCCTCAGGGGAGTCTCCCCAGTTTGGCTTGAGCATTCAAACATCGGGGAGACGTTGACTTGATGCTTCCCAAATAATTCCTCATCACCGACCCTGCCTACCTTGAATGATTGAATATATATTGGTAAACCCTTGTTATGCTGATCACGTGGAGGTTTTCCAGTGCACGACGAGGTGTCGGGGGTGGTGCACGACTGGGTTCAAATCTTGACTATGTTGGTGCAAGAAACTCATGCGTAAGCAGAGCTCAGATCGCTGAACAACTTGTGTTCAACTATTCAATGGCGATCCATGCAATCAAAAAACAGTCCCAGAAATCTTCAGACCCTTGACTTCGATTTATGTTTTAGAAATCCAGGAACACGTGTTCACATATTACTTTGGGTTTTCCAGCCCTTGGAGTGGGGCGGGACTGGGGCGGGAGTGGGGCGGGACTGGGGCGGGAGTGGGGGAGTGGGGCGGGAGTGGGGCGGGAGCCATCAAAGGCATCCACAGCCATCACAGCCATCCACACGGTTATTGACAAAAACTGTTATTTACAAAAACGTCGTTTTTGTAAAAAATACTTCTTGTATTGCCAAGCCATGGTGGTCGACTGTGAGCGGTTGGTGCCACCCACGCGGGCCACACCCCGCGACATAGAATTCATAGGTTTTTGATTTTCTAGTGTTAACGCTGCTACGCCCGTACCAAGTCATGATTGTTGTTGTTCATGAATTATATATCCCCCCCCTCTCACCCCCTCCTCCTCTCCCCTCCTGCCCTCCTCTCCCTGCACAGCAGAGTTTAAATATTAATTGAATTATTGACATTGAATCTAGCGCCAGCTAAGGCCATGGCCTATGGACCTATGTTTCGATGCTAATGCTATACCCGCATTTCTCGCTTCATGGCCCCGCCCCTGGCCAACTCAAGAGGGAAATTGCCACTCGCGGGTGAATAGACAGAAGAGGCACCACGCCATCACCGATCGCCAATTATCGCCAAATCAACCCTGTCAGCTTTCAAAAAGGGGAAGAGGTCGGGAAGAGGTCGGGGACACATTTTGCAAGAAGTCCCTCTCCATAATGCTAAGACACGTGGAAAAGTAATTAAAACGAATTAAAAAATACAAATTTCAATAAACTGATCTAATTATTGCGTTCAATATTTGTCCCTGACCTCTTCCCGACCTCTTGCCGACCTATTCCCGACCTCTTCCCGACCTCTTCCCGACCTCTTCCCGACCTCTTACCGACCTCTTCCCGACCTCTTCCCGACCTCTTCCCGACCTCTTCCCAACCTCTTCCCGACCTCTTCCCGACCTCTTCGAGAGCTGCTGGGGCTTCTGGATCGGTCATGACTCTGCCGCCGATATAAATTTGCCAACATGGCAGGCTTTGCTAATGCGTCAAGCGGAAGCAAGTTCGGGCAAGATTTTTCTGGTACCGTACACAGTACAACGTATCTTATCATACATATCATATCATATCACTAAAACCGGAACATTTGTCCGGCACATGCATGTGGGAACACATCATTTGACTTTGACTTTAAATCTTCTGCGCGTGTATGAAGACAAGCCTGCCGGGCAGCGGTCCAAGCATTCACTGCAAATCTGGAAAAAGCACAGCGCATCTCAAAGCGCTGATCTAGTATTTATCTTGTATTTCATCTCTGGTGCTTTGATTTGGGACTCCACGGTTGTTTCGACACTATCGACACTAAGTTTTACACCTCCTTGGACCATGCAATGAAGCCCCTTCTGTTTCAACACCAGTTTTTGCGCAATCTTTTGACCATTCAATTCATCAACATCCATTTCAACACCAGGTTTAGCACCGCCCTTTCACCATTCAATGAAGCCACATTCGTCTCAACACCCAGGTTTGCACAACTTTTTATGTCGACCTTGATAAATATAAAACCATACACAATTGACAAACATTGCCACACACCAGACCACACACCAGGAAATGCACCAATTTTACAGCCTGTAAGCACCAGTTTTCATTTTGATATGTTTAGCATTATAAGGGCTTACCAAAATATATATATATATTTATTTATCTATTTTTTTAAAGCGATGGTGACAGCCTCACCCAGCAGAACATCGCTTCACAAACTCTGCTGCACTGCAGCCATGCAAGAAAGATGGGAGGGAGTGGCGGCAACAAATCACGGCAGGTCAAAGCTCCAGTTTTGGGATAAAATACATTCTAGGTTGTATGCATTGCAGGCACTCTGGCTCAAACCTTCCAGTGCCCTGCCCCGGCGTGCGGGTGCACCTGCCCTGGGGTTTGGTGGAGTTTGGGCCACGACATCAGGCTTGGGCCGCAAACACTTTGATGTTTCACTGCCACATTGGCTTGCCATTCCCTTATTGGAGGGATTCTTCAATCACTCATAGGCTTGTCAATTTCTTCAAGATCTTGTCGTGGCGGTCAAGACTCGTTTTCAATTCCTGTTGATGACTCAATGACTGTATGCTCTATACTGGTCTATACTCTATGCTACCCTGCGGCCACAAGGGTGTTTTGTCAAATTGTGTTGCAGCGATGTAAATTGAGGATTCTGGAGGTGTTCATACTTGGCATGTCCTTTTTTGCACCTTTTCGAAACGACGTGATACTTCAACTTGGCGTGCACGGGTTGTGTTTTACGGACATGTCCCTCTGGAGCATTTCCTGTGGATTGGTTCCTGAAGTCTCGCTTTGGAATACACATGATGAGGTATACAGTGAGGGTTGCCAATCTGGTCTGTTCGCCGCCTTTTGTCACTGAAGCCTCAATCAATGATTGCACGTGTTTTGTTCACTCCATTGACAACAAGCGTCAACAATGCTAGAGAGATTTAAGCATTTTGAACTGTTCTTCACTGGGCAAAGGTGTACAGCCGATCTTGCCGTTAACCTCGCTAGGTTTCAGTGCCCGCCAAATGTGCCCATCAACATATATGTTATATCTCTTCTACCCTTTTTGGTTCCTAAAACTTTATCTACCCATTCCCAAAAGTGGATCAAACGGCATGAGGTAGCTGTGGATCAAGCGCCGAACGTGTTTGTTATTAGCGGCTCAAAAAACATGGAGTCGTATCAAAATGCTTGGAAGATGGTAAGATTGAGATTATCATCATTGGCATCCTTTAAGACGTGTCTGACATGACTGCAAAGCATCTTTTGAAAACCAAGGTCGTCTGGTCATCTGTCCTTGAATGACTTGACATACATCTCCCGGACATGCCTGGAGCAGCTTCCATTCTTTCAGCTTGTGAACAGCACTTACAATCATTGCAAAGACTGCTCTGTTTGTTGCTCATGAATCTGACATTCTGACTGTGTTTTCCTTTCCAGCCTGATGCTCTCCTTCGTTTGCCACTCCGGCAGGGCTTCCAGCATGGAGATGCGCCGTGCATACCGCACGGGCAGTTCCTCGTTGAGCAGCTCCGCCAAGGCCGCGGGCTGTTTGCCCAGATCCATGACGTCTTGCAAGGACATGCTGCGCGCCTACCCCGAGTGGTTCCATCCAAGCGTCGGACGGCTGTTCTCCAAGAGATCAATAAGAACCCAATGTAGACTCTTGATGAATAAAATGACTTTAAAATAATAGATAAACAAAAATAACAACATGTTGATTGAACAACCTCTTCGTCTTGAGAGTTTTATGAATCAGTTTCTCAGGCCAAAAGCTGAAAACCCAGGACTCTGCGATCCCCAAAGGTCCCCAAAAGCCCGGTCTGGGGGTTTGGTTCACCCGGTCCACGTTCCGCCGATTTCACCTGGAGGAGCATCAAGCACCTGCCACCTTGATAAAGATGGAGGGCAATGCTCCAAGCGTGTTTTACTGACAACTACACGAATTCATCCAAAATATAGGTCCGCCAAATCACCAAAGATAGGTCACGCAAAAGAGACTGAGCACAGCCGCGCGCAGCCGAGCACAGACCCGAAAAGTCAAACCCCAAAGAAAAACAGGACGGGAGGCCCTGGCAAGTCATTTTTCAGCAGTTGTGTGATAAAATGTGATAAATACTTCACATCTGCCACCTGTTTCTCCGCCAGCCCCAACTGCTCTCCACACGCTTTCCCCACACCTCTTGCATGGCCATGGTGGTGATCTCTGCCTCCAGCAGCTGCGAGAGCCGGTTCTCGCCTCCGCGCGCTTCGCGATCTCGGAGCGCCCTCCCCGGATTGGTCCAAACGTTGTCGTTCCGAAAAGGGGAAGCTCTGGGCCACTTTGGGTGGGAACGCCAATGAACGCGTCGTATCATGTCGTAACCCTTGGTATACCCGGTGATTCAGCACCCCAGGTTCCTAGGTCATCCAAGTATCCCCTTTTCGGATACATGACAATGCACCTGTGATGGTTTCTTCAATATGCGCGACCATGCAGAAAAATCAACGATGCATTTATAATCTATAAGTCCCAAAGTCCATCACTTGTCATGCAATCTCAATCAGAAATAGCATGAATTGGAGCACTCCCAAGCATCAGCCTAACCAGTGACTTCAACATACTTCAACTCTGCCAAGGGGTTGGTTCAGCTACAGATTCCTTTCTCCCCAACAGTCCTGCAAAAAAAGAAAGGAGCCCGAAAGCAAACAATAGTCGTTTCCTCCCGGGAGTTAGTGTCCACAACACTGCTGGAGAACTCTCTCCCGGGACGCCCAGACTCAGAGCTACATTGCTTCGGTGTAGAATCTTCCAGCCTCACGGGCTCCACGTCGCATCGGGCTCTGTCGGATCAGGCACGGTCGAAGTGATGCATGCAACCGAAAGCCACAGGGCTGAGCGTCTAAAATATGCAGGTGCAACTGGGTGAAGACCTATAGTCACGGCAGGATTTAGGCACTCAAGGTTCATGGAATTTCTTACAAGAGATTCCCTATCGGCTAACACGGCAGCCACCTCTTTGAGACAAAAATCTTCAAAACCATCAAAACCAATCCCTGGTTTCTATCGGTTTGCCACCGGGTATCTCATATATGAGTAATGGACAAACTGTTAAGATCTATGGTCAAACAAAGGAACCTATTGAGGATGGTCATGGCTGGCCCCCCATTGCCCTTTACAGGCTAAAGGAACCATGGGGGCTGACCCACACGATAGATTTTGTCAAATCCTCATATATGGCAAGTCTGCTTCATATTTGGAACCATGAGATCTGGAACCAATCAATCTGGTGAATACAGTATCTTGTATCTCGTATCATCTTGTATCATCTTGTATGTTGGAGGCCATCGCTACTAGGTTGCAGGCCATCGCTGTTCGAATCAATTCGTATCTTGTATCTTGCTCGTGTCTTATTCCTTCTCCAAAGAAGCCTCCGAAGATGCGCGTGAAGCTGCGGCTGAGCCGTGCGGCAGGCCAGGCCATGGCGCAGCAGCGCAGCGCCGAACTGGTCGTTGTTGGTGGTTGGGAGTGGGGGAACCCTGGCGAGCAATGCATTGCATAATGACTCAAATACAGCATAGAACGCGGCAAACATGCAAGAGTATTTGAGTCATATCTCATGCATGATAGAGTTGACTAATTATTTTAGTTGCATGATCGAACACGACGGTGACGCTAAGATTTATCTCTGACTGATGTCCCCCGCAGCGAGCTTCGGCTTGGCTCAGCCGAAGAGTCTACAGAGCAAGCATGCACATGAGCGGACGACTCCGCCGTTGTTTGTATTGTGATGAGGCTGAGAGTGAAAAGGTTGATTCAAACTTGCTCGATGTCTGCATGTCTTGAAAGGGTCTGAGATCTGACGGCTCGGAACAAACATCTGTAGTCTACAGCGTACGGGATGTCTATCTTGAAAAACAGCACATTGAAACCCACGAAAAAGTATGGAGTTCTGTGTAAGATCTAGTAAGGTTCTCCTGCAGCAAGCAAAACATGCTCAAGGTCTGCGTGTGACGTGGCGATGGGTTCTGGTCGCATGACTCCAGTTCTTGACAGTTCGTGTTCTTCAATGGCGTTAAAGCGTTGGGGAGCGGGCAGAACGCCCCCGAAAAAGCTGGAGTCAGTAGCGGCGGTTCAACAAAGTTGTGCTTAGAAACAAGGGTGATTTCATGTCACATGAGTCATAGAATCATGTGCAGGCGTTGCCTGTAGAGGAACCGATTTGGGGAGCAAGAATTTCCTCCTGAAGAAAGGACGTTCGGTGAAAACCAGAAGTTTTTCAGGATTGGATCCTGCAATGGCAGATGGCATTCTCAAAGCAACGCCAAAGTCTTCAGAGCGTTTGACATGCAGCAGACAAGCTTCTACCCTGCCTTCACAAACTCATCTCCCACTTCTGTGACAAAGACCTAAGCTCATCTGCCGCTTCTTGACAAGGACTGAGTCCAACCTAGTAGCTTCTTGTTACTAGTAGTAATGCCAGGAGCTACTAGTAGCTTCTTGGTAGCTCCTTGCTCTAGTTAGTAGCGCAGGCCTCCAAGTCCAAATTGATTTCTCACCCCATCCGGCCAAGGCACCCGAATGTGCTGCCCCATGTAGCGCTGGTCCCATCCACGGATTTCCAGCCACTTCCCCTCCTTCAACTCTTGGGCACCTCTGAGGCCAGTCGAAATCACCCAAAAACACCACAGACCTCAACACTTCGCCAAAAGGGCAGAGACGAACAAGGGCATTCATTGATAAGCAGCTCACCTTTTGTTCAGAAGTAGAATGGCTTCACTTGTCCACATTTCAAGGTCTTGGAATGCTAAAGGTCTTCACCCTTTATCAACTGAGCTCTGGCACGAACAATTAGCTCCAGGTCTCCATGGCTCATGTGCCACCACACCACCTGGTGTATCCACGACGACGCTCTGCACACGTTCGGTGTGCCAAGACGGTGCCAAAAGGTGCAGACGGCAGTGACGGCAGGTGGTTGGGTTGCTGAAAACTATGGTTGCATCTTTTTGTCCAGCCTGACTGTCCTGCAAGACTTGTCCACATTGAAGCAAGTCTATCCTGCAAGAGGAGGTTGCCATGCAAAGACTCATGCATAAATGCTGCGAGAATAGCTCAAGCAGGCCTGAAGCTTGGCAAAGGCAAAAGTAACTGGATTAGGATTGGCACTTGAGATCTTGATGTAGAGAAAATCATGTAAATCTTCAGCCACCCATGGCACCTCATTCTTGCTCTCTTCTACTCCCCTGATCATGGCCCACATGCGAAGTCGCTCGACCTGGAGTTGTTGAAGTTGATCTCCTTCTCTATGGCTTTCTTCAACTGTGAAGCAGTCAAATCTGCCGCAAGCAGTTCGCAAGCCACTTCTCCCGTGATGCCATTGCGGACAGTCCAAATCTGCATTGCACCATCCACAGGCGGAATAAGTTAAACTTACTTACTCGCCTGATGATGGTCTAGGTCCAACGTAAAACATTATAAGACCACTCCACCTGATCTCAAGGCAATCAGACTGTAGATTCCACTGCGTAATGTGTGCCATGCCTTGCTCTACAAGCCAAATGACTTCTTGAGATGAAAGCTATCCAAATGAACGTAAACAGTTCCAGCATGGAAGTACACAAGTTGATAGACCGCGACGCGTGGTGTCGCACGTGTAGCCGTGTCTGGCAGCGTAGGTACCTGGTGCATCGTCCAATTGAAGCACAAGTTTGACCGCAATGGCGCTAGTGAATTCACAGTACATGGTGACTAGTACAAACAAACCCCGATGTGCGCTCTGTGTCCATCTGCATCTCAAGTCTGTGGTTTGTGCCATTCATTAAGCTACTATACACAGCAGATTTGGAGTGCAAAGCATCTTCTTTCAATCTGTCCGAATCGCCTTGGTTCGAGGATGAGAACCGTGGCAACGGATGGTCAGGAGGGTAAGCCTTGGTGCGAGAACACAGCTCAAAAGGGACCCGTTTCCACGTGAAAGGGCGATTCTGTAAGATTTGTTTGGCGAAAAGACATGTGTTGATTGATTGAGTGAGTGATTGACTGGTTGACTGATTGACTGATTGACTGATTCACTTGTTGACTGATTGACTGGTTGACTGGTTGACTGATTGACGGATTGACTGATTGACTGGTTGAGAAAAAACCCACACCTTGTGTATCAGGAGAAAAAACCCACGAGTCTTGACCTCTGTTGAAAATCTGTTTCTGCACCGATCACCGACTCACCCAGACCCGCCATGCCTTGACTGCGCGCGGACAGCACCTTTTCGACTGCGGCAACGGTGCCTAGTCCCAGCTCCGCAGACCGCCACGGGCCGGTGACCGGGAGCGCGCCCGCGGGGACCTCGGCCAGAACTCTGCGGAGCGGGGCGTGTCGACTCCGAATGCGCAGGTCCGGTGAAACACGGAATTGAGATGAATTGAGAATAGAATCGATGAAAAGGAAACCATTTCTGTAGAAGTTCATTGTGATCATTGTGTTCAATGTTCAGAAGATCAAAGCTTCTGTGAACGAATCCTCTCGGGATGAAGAGTGAACACAGACCCGCCGAGGTTGATTCGTCTCCATGTTCTACACACGACGATCGGTTCTCCTTCCGAAAACAGGTATGGCCCCTTTCTGGGAAGGCCATGTTCCACAAACCAGATTTCCTGGTGGAGTTGTGCACAGGCTCCATCTCCATAGAATACCCACTGCAGCTGGGCCACCAGGAGGGCGACCGGCTGTTCCGGCGGCGTTCCCGGCGGCGGCTGTCCTTGGGAACGAGGTGATCACTCAACATGGTGAGTCGGTCAGCAAGCCTCACCCCAAAAATGGGGTGAAACACCTTATTGAATCGGCCCAAACGCTGAAGTGAAATTCAAAGGGCCTTTCAATAGTTCTTAAAACTCAACCGTGTTCCCAAGCAGGTACAAGCGAAAGAAACTGAATTCAACAAAAACTGATGGGCTTTTGCTCGTTAGTCTATGCGTCTGGAGGATTCCAGGGCTTTCCACCTTCACCCGTTTCCGCTGCACGTTTTTCCTTGGTTCAAAAAAAACTGGTGCTGCACCAACCAAAATTGTAAAAGCATGTAAAAATAAAAATAGAAACAGAACGATGTGGTTGTTGACCTTGGATCAACCTGCATCATCAAGTTGAAAACATTTCAACACAGGAGCCCTGACTCGTCGGCCAAGAAAATCATCCCTGCGGTTAGTGCAGCTACAGTAGACATGCCGGTGAAAAAGCGCGCTTGCTCTGTCTTCCTCGGGAGAATAAATAGCCATTAGTTTCTAATAGCGTCCTTGTTACTACTAGTAAGGCACTTGTTACTAGTAGCGATGCACTTGTTCCTAGTAGCTTCTTGTTACTACTAGTAAGGCACCTGTTACTAGTGGTGTTGACTCACGGGAACGCACCAGCTTCCCCAAAAGAGGCCACTCGGAGGACATTGAACCTGGTTGAGTCCATCGAGCGAAATCCACCGGCGAAAGTCGGCCTCGGACTCTTTTTCACCAAGAGACAGATCTTGAACGTCTGCCACGGCGGTCCATATCGCTACCTTTGAAGCGAGTAAAGCCACGGAAGGGAAGGGAAGGGAAGTCAGCAAAACACTGGATTGAAGTTGATGCAAGGAGCTGGGACATTCTACAAGAGACAGCATTAAGCTGAGGAAGACGTTGAAACACCCATTCAGCTCTCGGGATCGCACGCAGCTTCTCGTCAATCATCTCGTTTACCAGTCCTCGGAAATCAAAACATCCACCAAAAACCTGGGAAGAAGAACATCAGTTGCTTCAAGACTGGTCTGAATAAATGAGAGCCAAAGGGTTTGTCCGCCCATCAGCGGTTGGATGAGTGCTTGGCTTCTCCCTTTAGATAGCGATTTGTTGGGGCTCTCCCATTGATAGCTTAAGTGTCCATGAACATCTATAGGAACCAAATGAATAGTGCAAGCGCTATCCTGCGTCCATGCTAGTAGCTACTTAAGCTACTAGCTGCCTCTTCTACTAGCTACCTACCCTACCTCCATGGCCTACCCCTTAAAACAAAAAAAAGTGTGTGTGT